AGTTTCATGAGATGTTTGGACAGATTGAGCAATTGGATAATGATCTCGATAATAAACTTCATAACGTTCTTCCAATGGTCTATGCGCTATAATGATATTAATCAAATCGTCTTTTTCAATAATATTATGACAAGGAAGATTATATGCTGAAATATATTCTCGCAATATTTTGGTTGGTGATCTGATAAGTTGTGAACGATTCATTTCCATTACTATATAAATATAAAGAAATAATTTTCTTGAAAAAAAAATTCACCTCTCAATAAAACGCGTAAATAATTCTAAAATTCTTTAGCTTACTTTTCAAATAATCATAGCATAAGTTACAAACTCGCACAGGCCTGATAATTATGTTTTAATTTTAAAAAAATGTCAATTATGTTAATAATTATGTTTAAATTATAGGTTCAACAACTTACTCAAAATAACTAAATTTTGGTAACTCAGCTCTATTATCAGAACATCGTCCACAAGTTACATTACCTATATATCAAAAAAGATGATTATTTTTAGTTCAACACAAAATTAAAAAAAGAATTTGATTAATATACCACAATTATAACAATTGTATTTTTGACGGAACATGCGAAACGTAATACCACAACAAGAACAACAAGAAGCTGCATTGTGTGGCTTAAGTCTCGGAATGGAATGAGTTAAAGGTGCATGAAAAGTTGTTCCAGGACTTCTAGGTGCATTTTGATGACTTTGATTGTAATCTTGGAAGTATTGGGTTGACATCTATAAGTACACACAAATTAAAGAACGTAAGTTATTTATTAAGAAAGAGTTATATAGTTTAGTCGAGAATATAAGGTTCGGTTATATTTCATTCAATAATCACGTGTTAAATTGATCACCCATTGTTTTCTTTTCGAATTTACTTTAACTACCTATTATTATACATTGAATATAATTCGTGGCATTATGTTACTCGGTTATTTTTTGAGGTTATGGGCGGACTATCAAGTTATACTTTCGAGCTGTTTTATGTTAGCATGTGTCGTTGTACTTTATACAACGAATCGCAACAAAACACGGCTGGCAAAAAAGAAACACAGTTTGGAACAGACTACTGAAAAAGAGTATACTGATAAAAAGGTTGTTCAAGGTTTACCGACTGTTAAAGAAAAAACAACCGTGAAGAGTCTTCCAAAAAGATTCAAACCTCGCTTAGTTAAAAAGAATTCAGGTCAAGCTAGTAATGGTTCAGGTGAACAAACATCCTGTTGCAGTGGGAATGGCGAGGAGTGTTGCAAGAATCAACTTTCGCAAGAAATGCCCTGCACCATAACAAAGGAACTAACAAAAGAATTCATTAAAATATTTTATGCTACGCAAACTAGAACAGCAAAATATTTTGCTCAACAACTTTATGAGTCATTCCTGGAGCGTTGTGAATGCTCAATGATGGATATCATCAATTATGAAACTGAAGATTTCTTGTCGGAAACAGCAATTTGTATATTTATCATATCTACATATAATGTTGAAGGGCCTCTTGATTGGTTTTATAAGTGGTTGGAAGATACAAGATACGATTTTAGGGTAGATAAACAAGCGTTATCTAAGATGAGGTTTGCAGTGTTTGGACTTGGTGATTCTGCTTATGGTGAACAATTTTGCAATCAACCTAGAAATATCGACAAATGGTTAGGTCAATTAGGAGCGAAACGATTATATCCATTAGGCGAAGGTGACAAAGATTCAGGTATGAAATATCGAAATTTATTATTTTCATTTAACAATTTAACGTAAAAAATTAAAAATTTTGATTTTTATAGATCAAGAAAAAAGTTTTGAAGCTTGGAAACTATCTCTTGTCAATGTATTATTAGATCCTTCAACTGCAACAAATAATGATTTGAACAACCAGATACATGATTCATACAGTGAATCCGATGATGATGATGACGATAATGAACAAGATTCAGACGATAATTATAATGATGATAATAATGGTTTTGATACAGAGTTGGTAGACGTTGAGGATATGGGCGCATTAGCTCCTAAATTACAATCCGCGCGTAAATCAAAAGAAGAAGAACTTGCAAATAAAAATCGCAATGGACAACCAAAAAGGTCTTTAATTGAACAAGAGACTCATACAAAAGAACCTAAGGAAATGGTTACTCCAATGCTCCGTAAATCTTTGACTAAACAAGGATATAAAGTAGTTGGATCACATTCAGTAAGTTAACAATTCAACCATTTCAATCTATATCTTAGGGAGAGTGATAGATAATAACTTGTTCCTTTCAATAATAGGGTGTTAAAATATGTCGTTGGACTAAGGCA